CCCGGCTTCTAATGGCCATATTTTAGTAACACTTCTACTCCGATTCCTGTTGCCATAATAGAAAATCCTATCTGAGCTTTCTTTCAACAAAACTCTTGTACTTTGACAACAAACACCTTTTCTGAAGTTTTAATAGTTGATATAAATGATTGTAGTGTGTGTTTTACGCCACTATCGACCCTGTTTGGATACTTTCTTTCAACAAAACACACGTACTTTGCCTACAAACACCTCTTCTGAAGTTTTAATAGTTGGTTTAAAAGATTGCAGTGTATGTTTTACGCTGCTTTCGACTCTATTTAGATACTTCAGGAAGTGGTACTACTATGCATGTCTGAGCTAGCCGTTTCCGCCTGGAGTAGGATACAGTATCTCAGCAGACGGTCTGGGATACTCGATGAAATTTTGATGTCTTCCCCGGCAGGGAATCGGGTTTCTTTTGTTTGTTTGAGTAATTTTTTTAGTAAGTGTTTTACGGCACTTGCAACACAATAAGGTCATATAAGTGCCGAAGATTAGAGACGTTACAAGAGATTAACAAACACAAAAAAGGAGAAGAGATACAGACGATATATGTTTGATAGGAAAGAAGAAGCAAACCACACCAGAGCACCCGGCAACCACCCATTTTGTTTGAGTAAAGAAAAGCACAACGACACAGTAATGGTCTTTTAAAGCTGGGAAAAAGTAAGACAGACAGACAGACAGACAGACAGACAGACAGACAGACAGACAGACAGACAGAAACAACAGAGGGAAAGTAAAGAAGTAGGACCTACCAGTGGCGCCCTCCAAACATCCGCTCACTGAAGAGAAATTCCCATCTTCTGCGGCGTGTAACTAAGATCGAAGAGCCTATACCCAGGGCCCATTGGCACGATGGGTTCGGCTCTATTTGCTAGTCAGATTGAGGGCGCAAAGCAGCTATCGTGGAACAAACCGATCGTCCGACCCGTCACCTAAAAACAAATGCGTTTGTTTACAGGCGACGAGTCGGATGATCGGTCGGCGATCGG